AGGCAGCCTTTGTGAATTCAGTTCCCTGGGCCCCTGAAACAGAGGCTGGGACGGAGTGCAGGAGACTTCTAGACTCTGAGCTACTGAAGGCAGAAGAGGAAGCTGGGTGGGAATAATCAACATAACCCTCTGGATGTTATGTCACATCAAAATTCACAGCTAGGAATTGAATTTATGAGCTTTCATGGGCCTCTTGAAGCCTTGGTTGGCAATGTATATTAATTAACTGATTAAAAAACAGGTGAACCTTTAAATCGCATTGGCTTAACACAATGGAAGGGTATTTCTACCACACTCCTGAGGTCAAACGCCAGTGTCCTAGTCAGTAGGCAGCCTTCTACTTGAACTTGCAGAAGCCAGACTCCTCCCCTCCTGTGACTTGTTCTTCTCCAGGCCTCGCAGTCCTCTGTATTCAGCCGCAGTGGGGAACAGGAGGAAGGTTCTACGGGCCACAGCCTGACGCGGTGTACGTCACTTCCACACACGTTCAACTGGCCCAGACTCACTGCGAAGCTGGCATGTGTGGTCTCTGGCTGGGCAGGAACTTCCTAGCAACCTTCTGTATCCTCGGAGGGGAGTGAGAATATTCAGTGGTCAGATAGCTGTATCTCCCACCGGGAGTTTTGAAATTCACAGTGGGGATTCCCAACTTGCAGAATTAAGCATCCTAAACAAGAAGGGACAAAGCCCAACTCCTAATTTGGGGATGCGTATTCTGGTTTGGAAGAGAAAAGAACGATGGGAAAACAGGCTGAGGGTCCTGAGTTCCGTCCTCAGCCTAGTCAGAAGGGGAGAAATAGGTCTAGCAGAGTAAGTACGCGCTTCCACCTGGCCAAAGGTTTCCAGAAAAAATTTGCAGCGGTTGAAACACGGCTGTTGAAAAGTACCTGAAATCAATTATGTAAACAGTGAAACCCAGGTCATGGTTATGCAGTCAAGTATAAAGCTCACAGTATAGAAAGTTCCAGAGAGGAAAATTATGAGCTGGTGTGCCAGGAAAATAAAAAACATATATGCCCCTTCAAGCTAAGAAATCAGAAGGTTGTCTTTCATCTCTCATGAGCCTCGTGCTGGTCCATCAGTGACAAACCCAAGGCTTCACTTGAATTAAGATGAAAGTTCAGCATAGGAACACGTGCTGGGTCTGATCTTGGGCCGACTTCCAGGAACGCAGTCCCGCTAACCCTAACCCTAACCCACCCCTGCCAGCCTTCTCTCTTCCTACCATGCGTCTCTGCCTGGCTGCAAGGTGAGGCGCAATCATTTTCTGATGATGACGACGACGACGACGGCCTCCCTGCACAGAAAGGAGATAAAGCACAAGGTGCTGTTAGACAGCGCCATAGTCAAGTCCCCCACCCAGTGAGAAGGTTATAATGTAGCTCTCTGGACACCATTTCTGACCAAACTTCTTGCACCAAAACTTTGACCTTCACCCAACATGTCACTCTACACTGTCGGTATCGGCGTGATCCAATACGGCAGCGACTAGCCACACGGAGCTGTGCCGCACTGGAGCCGGGTCTGTCCGCAGTGAGATGTGCTACCGGTACAGAGTGTATGCTGGGGTTTGAAGACTCAGTGTGAAACCAGGAATGTAAAATACGTCGTTCATAATTTTCATAACACCATTTCAGATACACTGGGTTAAATAAACTACCTCACTAAAATATATCTCACCTTTTTATGCTTTTCTACTGTTGCTGTTAGAAATTTTGAAATTACACGTGACATTTGATTTCCACAGAAGAGAAGCAGTCTAAATAGTTTTCTATGTCTGTGCCGTATGTTTGAGCGTGTGTGGCGGTTTGTGCCTTTCACTAAACTGTAAGCTCTCTGAGGATTAGAACCTTGTCATATACTTTTCACATGTCCTGCTGTACTCAGGATTCACAGAGTCTAGTACGTTCATGTTTCCTAAACTCCTGAGGACCTTCTTGCTCTCTGTGGCATATCAAGCCAGACAAGTGGCAGTGGCTGGGCCTGGGGACCCTCAAGCACGTGGGCTGGCAGGTGGGGGAGATGGGTCTGTTGGGAGCCTGGCCATGGAGCAGCCAGACCAGGAAGGGCCTCCATGGGCCGTGTGGTCCAGCTGAGTTTTCCTGGTGCGACAGCTCCCCAGGTGCTCAGCGCCCACAGACTCAGACTGTCTGCCAGCTCTGCTAATCATTCACCCCCTTTTGGCTCCCTTCTCAGCTACCTGTGGGCAGTGTCTGGTTGGGATGTGTGATACCTATCTTCAAAGTCAAGAGCAGGATGTTCATGTTTCAATGAACAACATGCAGCGTTGGTGTCTGGCCAAGGTCGGGGCCTGAGCAGGGCTCCTTGTCCTCATCTGTGCCACTTTCAGCTTTGCACTGCTGTTGGGTTAGTGCTGCTGTTCTCAGGTCCTGGCTGCCGGGAACAACTGGGGAGATGAGTGTGCGAGCTGGCACAAGGTCTGCTGCCCCACTTCCCTTGGACCACAGCCTCAAGGTACAAGAGGCAACATTAAGAGTGGCCAAATGCAGCCCCTCTTGAGGCCTGCAGACCATGTGGTCTCTGGCCCAGCCCCGCTGATGCCTGGAAGAGCAACGGACCATATGCTTCCCCCAGAGCAAATCTGAGAACCAGGGAGAATCCCTGCGGCTCTCCCCTCCCTGACGCACAGAATCTGCCACGTTGACTCTCCTTCTCTAAGCACTGAGCTCTACAGTGTTCTCCAAGTGTCTTGAAAAGTCACCACCAAAAGGGAAAAGCAGACAGGAAAGATATTCACTTCGGTACAACAGTATCCACGCCCTTTTGTGTTCACTTTAATAGAAAGTCCAACATTCTATTTTTTCTCCGATGAGGGGTATGACGTTCAGCAAGTCAGGGAGAACGGGACTTAGAAGCCACGTCCGACTTCCGTCCGGTCAGTGCGTTTCCCACTCCCTCGCGCTGCCTTCAGAAACTGCTTCCACACCTCAGGGGTCACCTCCGGGCTGTGGGATTAGAGATGATTGTGAATGTCCTCCTTTTTGCTTACATATTTTATCTAGCTTTTCTGCAACGACTATGCATTGAATAAAAACACCTAACATTCAACGTTAAACTATAGCAAATTCCTTCAGAAAGCAAGCTTATGTTTTGTTTTTTCTACTTGCCCTCACACTCAAATCCCCAGCCCCACCAGCTCTCTCAATAGCAAGAGGCAATCTGAATTACTGCCATCCTCCATGGCAGAGAGAGATCTCGTTTGTCTGGAATTAAGCAGACGAGGAAGAGAAGGTATATGCTCAGAGGAAGTGCTGTGTGATCGGGGTGTGAATTCTCCTCCTCTCCACCAGGGGCGCTGCCAGCGTACAGGTGCCCCCCTCTCTGCTCCACAGCATTGCTTGGACTGTGAGATAAGATGGTTTTGCCGGTGACTTGTGATGTTAGCACACTTCACGTTGAGTGATAAACTTGCTCTCTCCTCAGCTCTCCCAGAGAAACTCCTATTCCGTGTACCTCCTGTAATACACCCAGAACCATTTGTGGCCTCGGGTCATGCGTCACATTCCCTGCACTTTGTTTCCCACCATGCTCTGCCCTATACTCATCTGGCTGTTACCCAATATCCACAACTCTGTCTCCGAAGGTACATCAGACACCAGTAACGGAGAAATGAAGCCGATGGGCGGATTCACATTAAACTACAAATGGCCAATACCAGCTCATTGGCGCCACTCCTCTCAACAGTATCTGCATTTTAAGGATCATCCTAACCCTTTGCATCAGTTAGGGGTGCATCGTGGGAGCACAGTGGCATGGAATATGGTGGACTGTGGATGTCCTGTGGTGACTAGACCTTACACATCTGTAGTAAGGAAGTCTGTGGAAGGCTGTTGCCTGTCTGCGGTGTGATGGGCCTGTGGTCATTTCAGGTCAGTGTGGCAGACATCAGGAAGCAGTACACGACATGCAAGTAGGGAAGAGCAAGGACACACCAAAACCCATGAGGAGAAAAATGGAGCCCGTGTCTGCCCCCACCACCTCATACTTCAGTGGCAGGAGACCTGCAGAAGCTGGTGCCCTTCACATTAAGAGCTAAAGGCCCGCCCGGCTGCTGCTCGTGCCAAGGTGGTGAGCCAGCAGACCAGTAGCAGAAAGCACGGGCTGCAGTGGTACCTGGAGCCCACACCTTCAGAGAGAGAGAGTGCTTCACTCTCACCTTCAGATTGTCAGGTAAATTTCTATGTCAGCCAGCTCAACCTAGAACCACACAGGGAAGAGAATTCCGGGAAACATGGCCCAAGCTTAGGTTTACGTACTGCAAAACTAACACTGCCCCCCAAATCATATCAAAATGCAGTCTTTTAGCTCCTGCAGAGATGTTGAAGTGGGGGCAGCAGGTGGGGCAAGGATGTGAAGAGGTAAGGGGAGAAGATGAAGGGAGCTTTCTTGGTCATTTGCAAGAATGTGTCTATAAGAGAAAAGCCAGGTAGGTGAGAAGTATGTATTACATGGTTATATATCCAAGTGTCTATAAATGTGTGTATACGGGAAGAAAACCTTACAATTGCACCCATGTTATGTGTGAGGAGTACTGGAGGATACTCAAGGGTGTGTGAGCACCCAGGCTTCCTCTGGATATCACAGCGACCCCTATCCCCCGCCCCACGGTCCTCTCTCCTGCTCTGAGTGCTGGGCGGCACAAGGGGACGGAAGCCATGGGAAAAGGGGACAAGTGTGACAAGAAGCACCTCTAGGGCCACAGAGGGGAGCCCCTAAAAGCACATTCATCAAGTTTCTTCTTTGGCAGAAGCCAGTTCCCAATGTGCCAGAATGGAACGGAACAATGAGGCTTTGCGCCACCCAAGGTGTAGGCTTGATTCAAGAAACATTTCCTCTCTGTGGGGGTGCAGTGGGTGGGGTGAGGTGATAAAAGTTGGTGGAAGGCAATTCTTTCCAAAGCCCAGACCTTGGCGTGGCCCCAGGGGGTACAGACGTGCCGACCTAGTCTCCTCTCCCTCATCAGGCAGGCCTGTAGTTCAATGGGAACCTTCATTGGTCATGTGTACCCAGGGCTGTTTCTCTTTTTGTACGGACTGTACCAGGCAGTAGTGGTCTCCAAAGCTGTGCTTGTCAGTGACTCTCTCCCCAATTCTTCCTGTCCTCCCAGGAGTAAGGGGAGATGGGCCAGGCTGTGGGACATATCCTACAGAGGTTTGCTGAAGACGGTGACTGGCTGCCTCTTGATAGCGTATGAGATCAGCAGCACTAAAGGCAGGCTGACGCTGATGAACAGAGAGCTGCCACCGAGGTTTATGTTCCCCAAAGAGTGGCAGCACCTCACCATGTTCATCCTCCTCAGCCTCAGTGGCTGTGCAGATGTCACGAGCAAGAACCTGCTGCCTTGGAGGTGTGTGTTCCTAGAAAGAGGTGCCCTGGTGCTGGCCTTCTATGTGCTCCTGATGCTGTTGGTGTCACACGTTCGAGACTCAACAGGGGTGGAGCTGCAGGTGCACTGTCTACTCATCTTGGTGGTGTTCCTGCTGATGCTGGTGTTGACTGTGGAGCTGTGGGCTCCCAACGCGTTTCCCCTCCCACTGATCGAGACCTTTCTGTTTCTGATGATGGGCTCCTGGCTGGTGCAGGCTGGCTTTATTCTGTACAGACCAGTCACTGGCTATCCATGGGACGATGATGACATCAGTGACATCATGTTTGTCACCACCTTCTTCTGCTGGCACATGATGACCAACACTTTGTGCCTGTTGGGAATCTGTGGCATCTCTTCCTTTTGGCACCGTCGTTGCAGTCCCAGCTCGAAGCTGACCAGGTCCAAATTAGCGCCACACTGCAGGAGCACTGAAGGACCCGCCTACACATTGCTGCCAGAAGTGGAGCACTCAGAGAAGGATGACCAGGCTCAGGCTCACCTCCTCCCAGAGAGCTCACCCTGAGACAGGGCCTAGGATGCCCAGCCCACTGTCCACCCCACCTTCCTCCTTGTGGGCTCTCTCAGACACGTGCACTGTACCCTCTTTGGTCCCCAAGTGAAGGTAATGGCCATGAAGGAGAGCAGCTGGTCTTCATCTGCTGGTACATGTCCTGTCCCTGAACCTCTAATCCCTGAGGGGGTGAGGAGAGAGGGGGCTGAGAGAGGGATGCTGATGGATTGGAGTGGTGGGGGGAGGGGGACTGGGGGACTAGAGAAATGTGCAGGAAAAGCCATGGGGTTAGAGAGTGCAGTACGAGGGGGGCCTTTGAAAGGGAGAGCAGAGTCCAGCGGTCATGCTGTCTACCAGCTGCTTCCCCAGGCAAAAGCGATTGCCTTTTACCCAAGGGAATACTGATTTCTTACCATTCAGAACTGGAATCATTCAAGAGTCATCCTGGTAAAGAAGGGCAGGTACTTCTATTTGCTCACCAAAGTGGTGCCCTCAGGTAGAAGTGGCACAAACAGAATTTGTAATTGGTTCATACAGGTTGAAACTGCGTTCTGTCCGCCACCCCCCCCCCCAAATGTTTAAGGGTTGGCTTAATTTCAAATTCAAATGCATAAAGTGAGACTTATTAATGCTTTAATATAGTAAAACTGTAATTTTTATAGAATCCAAATGTTTAGTATCTCCCCAACTTCCTACTTTCATACTCCTATTCCGGCCAAAGCCTACCTATTTCACCACCATCACCTCGGCACCTGTAATTTACTAGATCCTCTCCACGAGTCTTGGCAAATTTCACTCCCTGGCATCTCACGAAAAGCCATTCCACAATCACATTTTTACTGTGCTGGGGTACGCAGCATAAGACCCACCCCTACCTTTACCCCACCGAGCACCCGCAGGGAGACCTCCACTCCGATTCCTTTCTTCTAGAACTCCGAGGCACTAATACTAGACCCACCTGGTTAATTTGTCTGTACGGCTGACATGCTTCGCTTTGTTCTGTTTCTGAAATCATTCCCCTTGGGGAGGCCTCTCCTCACCACCTAAAGTAAAGACTAAGGACTTGGCCATACCAAGTTACCCACTTTCCTGTGGGCGAGCTAACTATGTGCTGCTTAATAAAGGCGTATTTCCTTCCAGTACCTCTGCCTACCCTTTCTTCTGAAAGTGTTGCCGGACAGGTCCGAGGTTCTGTGAAACTCTGGGAGGCACAATCATCCCAAAGCCTAAGGCATCTCCTGAGTCATGGGCCCACTCTCTTCCTCATTCTCGGGATAACAAAAGCCCCTATTCTGTGTCTGCACTGTTTGCTGTTAATTGTTTTTTAATCCTCACAAGCATTTCTATGAGGAATCTCCAGGTTGACTTGCCCAAGTCTTACAGTTACTATGAGGCAAGACAGGAACCCAAGGGCAGGTGTGTCTGACTCAAGCTAGTGACTGTCCTGTGGGTCATGGTGATTTTGTTAATGGCAATGGAGAAGGGAGTGATTCTCAAAATGAAATAGCTAGAGCGAGAGAGCAAAGAGAAGGAAAGCAAGCCGCACAGTGTAAATACGGTAGACCCCCATAGAAGCCGTCTGTGTCACACTTTGTGTCCACCACCCGGCCCTGCCGCCAGGGTTTCCTTTGAAGAGAGTCTGCCTGACTCTCAGCTTCTGGCTGGGTCTGAAATTTCTGGGCTCAGACCTGAGGGCTCAGAGTAAGAATTGTTTGTGACCAAGGTTTCTGGTCCTTGCCCACATTCCCTTGACTGTTGGTTCCTAGACTCTTTCCAATGACCTTTCTTGGGGGACCTCCTTTCTCATCACCGTTCATACACACTGATGGGAGAAGGCTTAGAAAGCCACACATGTGGCACTGGCCAAGTAGCTGAGTTGGTTAGAGCGCTGTCCCAACACACCAAGGTTGCGGGTTCGATCCCCAGTCTGGGGCACATGTAGGAGTCAACTGATGAATGCATAAATAAGTGGAAAAACAAACTGATGTCCCTCTCTCTCTCTCTCCAAAGAAAACGAAACAAAAAAACCACGCATGCTGCTTGCTGCCCATTTCTAGTCAGTTGAAACCTAGTTTTACAATTATAAACATCTGGGAATCAATTGATACCCCCAAGGTAATATCTCTTAAATATCCAGTATAGCTATTCATTTACTCTATCTGGGATGTGCCAGGGAGGTCCACCCCTTGAAGGCCAGTCTAGGGACAACTTCCCACTTTTCAGCCTGGAGGGAGACATGTAATTCTCACAAAATTCCACCAGAGGGCACTACGTGCACACCACCCAGCCAAACCTCTCGCTCTCCAACCTGGTAAACAAGTCTCTCAACAACCGGCTTAAAACTGGGGGGTAGGGAAAAGGAGGTCAGGAAAAATACAGAACCAGCAGAAGTTAAGTATTGCCCAAGCATCCAGAAAACATACCCCAGGGCTGTTTGTTTCCCATTAAAACCTGGCATGTGAATGTGAAAACACAGAGGGACCCAAATCAACTGCAGGGATGGGGTTGAGGGAGGAAGGACGCAGGGTCCAGTTGAGGGTATCTTTGGGAAAAGCACCGGCTAACAAGGGCACACTCGGATCCAAGTAATGTTTTGACCACAATGCTCAATCTCCTAAATGTTTTCATAGGCCTCCACAATGCTCCCATCCATCCAGAGAAAACAAAGATAGACCCACACGTACATTGAGAATAAGGAACAGATTTTATCTATGAACATCCGAGCTTCACAAAAGTGAAACTAGCAGCAGGTTATTGACTATGAAGTATGATCTCCAGAGAGTCCGTAGCATCTGCCATAAAGCCCTTCTGGTGTCCGGTAATCTAGCTGTTCACAAAGAATATACAGAGTGTCCACAGTATGGAAGGCACTAAAACCCACAGTGTAGGATTTAGGGGTAAACAGATCAGTCCCTGCACCGGGGACTTCCCTCAGTGGGTACAGCAGGGATTTTACTGTTCTAGAGGCGCTGGTCCAGGAGTGAATTGTCCACAGCCTGACACCGCAGAAAGGGAAAGAAATGGGCTCGCACGGGAGTTACACCTTGGAAACATGCGACTTCAGCAAGCTACTGTGAGTCACCAAGGCCTCAGTCTCCTCATCGTCAAGGCATAAAAATGTGAAAATCTAATTCCAGAATTGCACGGCTTTAATTTTCCCAATAGGACTTATTTTCCCATGTTGTTAGCTAAGATGAACTTCATTCTTCCCAACTCTCCAGGCAAGTTTCCTGTTGGAGACAAGGCTTGGGGCAGGGCTCAAACAGACCCAAACCTTCAGCCCTGACTTGCAGTTTGGGAAATGGAGTTTCTCCTGTATTCGAATGATTCCAAGGAGTTTTCAGGAAGACTCAAATCAGGCTAAAGAAACATAGCCGAGATTTGAACTCCTCATTTCCTAATGTGAGCTTAAGAATATCAAACAATCAGAAAGGATATAAAGAACAAATTCTCTGTGTTAGGTACTGAACCGCCGTAAAACCAGGTCTTTCCTCCTTCGACTGTGCAGTGAAATTTGAAAGCTTGGCCACTAGCAGCTTCTTCCCTAAATCTGGCTTAGAAGTAACATTAACTTCCAAGACTGTTTCTTTTCTTCTTTCTGATTTTTGTTTTAGCATTCTACGACGGTTTATTCTTTTGGAAAGAACTGGTGTTCGTTTATCTAAAAACAAAAATAGTTTCCAGTTTTGGTTGGGTTTCCAGGGTATTTCTGAAGCCTGAGTCTCAGCTATGTGTCTTTAGCCTGATTGAAGAGCTTTGTCGGATGCCTACTGAAATCGTCCAGACATGGGGAAAATTCCATTTCTCAAATGACATGTTATGGCTGAAGGTTTGGGTCTGTTTGAGCCCTACCCCAAAGCTTCTCTCTAAGGAGTGCAAGGCAGCCACGAAGAACGCTGGGGAAGGCACCTCAAACCGCCAGATGAAGGGCTTCTGACCCGCGGAGTGAGAATGGATCCTTCAAAAGAGATAGAAATTGAGTGGTAAACTCACAGGTAAAACCCATCCAAGACAAGGCCTTGATTTCAGGCAACAGAGCAACACTGAAAAAATGCTTTTAGTCCCTGGCCCACTCCTTGGATTTGGAACAAATTCTTTACCTAAAATATTACTCTCCCACTCCACCTACCCCTTGGACATAGTGACCCTATGCTAACAGGCAAAAACCGGACTTCAGAGGGGGTGGGGGATGGGGGTGGATTTCAATTTGGGGAAGAAGAGGAAGGGGAACAGAGGGCAGCGGACACAGCAAAGCCAAACTGGATGAAACAGGCTGTTCTACTTTTAACTTCTCCAAAAGTAGTCTGAGCTTCTGGGGGCGAACCAGTTCGTAACGGGCCGTTTGCTGTTTTTTCTTCCCTCGTGTGCTTTTAAATGTCCCTGGTGGGTCCTTGGACCCGTGCGAGCACGGTTTCCGCTGGTTAAGTAAGTGTAGGGGGGACCGAGGAAGACAAGCCTCTTGTTCCCTCCGGAAAGACTTGGCAGTCACGCATTATGTTGCTAGCCCTCACAAAGTATGTCCCTGGTCACATGAATGGATCAAAGCAAATCCACTTCCATTCTCGGAAAAGCAGCTCAAAGCGCTAGCCCTCTCGGTGCCGCTGTCGTTTCTGTGTGTTCAACAAACACGGCTTATTGAACAGTCTATCCTGAATGCTCCTGGGGGAAACAAGATGAAATGGCTACTCAAGGAGGTTACGATACCTAGCAAATAGGATGCCATAAGCTAAAAAAACAAAACAAAACAAAAAAAACCCACTACACTTGTTCGTGCTATTCAACTTTCCATTATGTTTGCCATCCCCATCTCAGATGCTGGATGGAAGTGATGAGTATAATAGAAGGCTCTGCATTATGCTTAGGCAGTTTGGCGTCTGGAAACCAACATCTTTTTACACAAGAACATCACCTTTCACTTCCTCCACTACCCCCCTTCAACCACTGAAACGGAATTCAACCACTCACAGAAAGAAATGGAAGGAAGACAGCTGTTAGCAGGTCTAAGCCCACTC